AAGTGTGCACGAACACACGAGTCCACAGCCAGGCACACAGAGGGGCAAAGCAGAGATATGTTCTGTCTGCTGTGCCCAAATGAGTGCTTGTCACAGGTAAATGCTGCAGGAATCAGATTGTGGGGACCCTTGGGGACGAGGCTGCTGCCTGCCCTGTGAGGGCAGGGTCCCCACACCTGCACCTGCCTCACTGGACCAGCCTCTGTCCCCGCAGGATTGCTGCGAGCACTGTTTCCCATGGCGATGTGAGTGGCTTTCTGGCAGGGTTGCAGTCATCTGTGCAGCTAATTAATCTTCAGCTGGGTAAAGAGACATCTGGACCAGAGGAGAATCAGGTGTCTAGTGAAACCCCTTGACACGTGCCTCCTCTGTTGGCTTCACCTATGAAGAAACACTCACCGTTGGGGGGGGGGGGGGGGGTGTTTGTTGTCTGCTTGGCCACATCGTGGTCCAGCAGCAAACAGAAAAAAGAGACTGAGAAGCACAGCCAGGGCATGAAGCACGGCAGCATCCTGCATCTCCTGGGAATCTCATGCTCAGTGTTATCTGTTTACACACATAACACTCCCATAACCTTCACATGTATTTATCACATACAGAAACAGGGACTTGTACATCAGTAATACTCTATCCTTGCATTTACTTTTCTTTTCAAAAGAGGAGATGTGATTAGCAATGGTGGTTGTATTCCAAAATGACCAAAAATCAAAGTTATAACAGCATCTATATCTGTGGGATACAAAAGCAAGAAAGCTGAAGCTGTGCTTCCCGAGGGTGGGGACAGCTCACCTGATGAAGGGCCCAGGACCCTGGATCTCCTTCATCTTCCATTTGTAACAACAAGGCATACAAAAATTTCAATTTAATGGAGAAGAGCAATGCTGCTGTGCAATGTGTCACTGCCTCTTTTTTTTTTTTTTTTTTTTTTTTTTAATAGCATTTGTGTGTGTCTCAGTGCTGTCCTAAACCTATTCCCCTCCCACTGCAATGACTGTGCTGATGACCATGGGACCTCTGCACCGTAAGGAGGAAGTGAATCACTGCAATTTCCCAGGTTTCAGAGCCAGGGATTATCTCTATAAATGCACCCAGCACTGCTATATATAAGCAGGATTTGAGCAACATAAATAATTTCTTTCTTGGGTTCTTTCTTCATGAAACTGCAGGATCTCATTTGGCATCATTCATTGCCAGGCTAATGAACAATGCAAACCTGCACTTGCCGTAAAATGAAAGCTATGGCTAATGGCAGCAATGAAATAAATGGCAAAAGTCTAAAAATAAATTGCTTTGAAAACTGATACAATTCAGTATGACATGATAATGCAAAAAGGTTGCTTGTCCGGGTGTTATTTGTAATTCCCTGTATGTCTGAATTCCCTCCAGCCAGCATACATTAAACACAATCCAAGGCATATGCAACAAATCATATTCAATGATGGAAACTTGGGAGAAAAGCAAAAGCTTGATCTCTCTTAATTACAACGAGCCACAGACTTCTTTTTTTGCAGACTGCCAGTATTAAGGAGTGAAGAGCACATGAAAGGAAAACAAAAATATTCAAATCAAAGTCCTTCATGTAATGATGGATATTTCTGCTCAGAAATGTGAATAATTAGCTGCAGACCATTGTCATGAAATGTTGTTCAGGGTATGTAAGGCCTTGTGCAGACTGTGGTGTCCGTCCCCAGAGGGGAGGTCGGCGTGGCAATCGACGCAGTGATGCTGGCCCCAAACCGCTGCCACACACGAGCATGAGGATGTGCATTTCTTACCAGAGGTCTTCTGCATTGCAGCCCAGTTGGCCCTAAAGCTCTGCTCAGGCAGGATTGACTCAGAAAGATGTTTCTAGCTGCTGCTCCTGTGCATTTGGGGCCTTAAAGAGGCAGGCCCCAAATTGTCACCAATAAAACCAAGCGGCAACAAGGATTTCTTATTTTCACCCCAAATGAAACTCAACAGCTTTCTGTCTAGAGATCATGTCAGACAGTGCTTCTGGGAAGATTGAGCTGTTCTGACAAGGTATTGAAATGTATTTGATTTCAAAGGAAGGTGTTAAGACCTGAAGGGGAGCTAGCAAGATCTGTCGGTGAAGGATTCGGAGGCAGAGGTGCACGTTAGGTACCACTCAGCTGCGACAGTCTGACAGATGTTCCCAGACATGCATGATTGCAATAAGCTTGGAGGTGTTTGCCTTGGAAAGGTTAGCCAAGCTCTTAAAATTCACCAGCCCTCAGACCTTTGTAGCCCGGGACATGGAACAGCTACATGGCCACCCTGCTCTGATGTGTGTCAAGTAATGCCATCAGAGGCGTTCCAGGTTGCCCGCCTGGCCTCTGTAGAGCTCATTTCTGAGGCTGGATGGCCGCCTTCAGTGCTGCCAACTGCAATCAGATCTGGCAGGGCCCCCGGTAGGGTAGTTTCTGCTGTTTGTAAGGGGTGGTTAGGCTTTGCTCCAGGCAGTGAAGTGGCTGAAACACAGCTGCAGGGCAGGGCCAGAGCTGCGTTCACTGCCTGGCTTTACCTCTCCAGCCACTGCTGCTGTATGTTGCTCTCTCACACACACATTGCAGTTGTTCACAGGACAAGGCTGGCCTGTTCCACGTTAGGCTCACTGCTGTGCTGTTCTCTGGTCGGCAATGCTGATTAGGTAAAGGATATTTCACGTCCTAAATCTTTAAATTGACTTACTAGCTTTTGGACACTACGTAGGAGATAAAAAGAAATAGATGAAAATGCACAGACATTTCGCTGCTTATAAACTGACAGAGGGTCTCTACTGCAGGGAAGTGTGCAGGATCCACAAGATATTCATAAAGGTGGTGAGAAGGATGGGATTTGTGTGTGAGCAACACTCACTTCTCCTCTAAAGTTTGGAAACAGTGATGAGAACAACAGGTAACTAACACCTTGGGTTCCCTGCCCTTGTTCTGTGCAGGCATGCCTTTAGATGAAAAGTGTGGTGGATGAAAAGCGTTTGGACAGAGTAACAAGGGATTTTGTGTAAATTCAGCTCTGTCACCAGTTACAAGTGGCACACAGAGAGCAAGCCTGCTCCTGCCTGGTGATCTTGCCCAGAACACGCTGCTTTTATACAGCACTCCCCAGTGGTGCTGTGGTGGCTTTTCCCTCTAAAAGGAAAGATGTTAGAGTTTAAGTTTTCCTATGTTGCTGAACGAATACAAGGAGTGCACAGAGAATACTAGAAGGAGCACATATTACAAAGTCATTCATCTGCTGATGTGTCAAACATTACACCAAAACTTCATCTCACCTTCGCTCGTATTTTCATCAGAAATCCCAAGGTGGCATATCACAGCTCGATACCATGTAGCTAGGCAAAAACCTGTTTAATGAATAACTCGAGAAGTACAAACCCCATTTTGGAGGCTCTCCAAGCTTTCTGATATGAATCCAGTCAAAAGTGAAAATGAAGGGATTATCGGCACGCAGCAGCTGATTTCCCTGACGGCTCTCCAGCCCAGCTGTTTCTGTTGGAAGCGTTCATCACCTGCACGCCAAGCAGACAGTGAGGAGCAGCCTTTCCCGCTGACCACTTGCATTCTCCTGCAGCACACATAAGCTGCTTTCAGAGCTCATGGACTGCTCAAGTTTGCTGAGCGGCTTGTCAGAGCTATTGATGGCTCCTTGTAGAAGAGCTTTGGCGAAAGGTCAGGGGCAGATGTGCTTCTTGCTCACCCCAAGCCTGACATTTGCAGCCTTGTAACCCAGAGTAACAAAGGCGCAGTGAGCCTTATCCATTTAACATTCTTCAAGCCTTTTAAATTCCTTTGGGAAAGCCTGGGCTGATGCCAAGACAGCAAATACTGTTTCTGTACGATGAATACAATGATGCTGAGAACATGTTTGTGTGCAATCTGGAGCTGCACTGCAGCGTTACCTCCTCCCCAGGGATGGGCTGTTGAACAAGGACTGTGTCAGTGGACACCAGTGGGGACATTGGTAAACCCTCCTCTGAGAGGGCTTTTGTTAACCTCTGGTTGCTGACAGAGAAGATGATTGATGTCAAAACACCTCTAATTTTAAAGCAAAGAGTTAATTCTGTGTCTTATTAATCCCACCGAAGAAAATGTCAGAGCAGCTCTAGCTGCCCCTGGGGCTGCTTCATCTGTTACAGGGCTACCATTGGGCTTGGGGTATACTCAGTCCTGAGCATCCTCCAGAAGAGGTGACAAAAAGCCTTCTTCTAGTGATAGGCATTTCTCAGCATGCATTAAGTCCCAAATTTCATGCCACTGTATTTCTAGAAACTACTTTTCCAGTGTAGCATGCATGTACCCATTCAGCCCTCGATGTACTAACAGTATAAAAGAAGTGAAAGAGGGCAGAGGCTTTTAAGCTCCACCTCATGGAAAAAGGTTTTAAAGAGGGTCTATCTAAGGCACTATAGCACATGTATAGATCAAAATCACATTCTTATTAAATAACGGGATTACCTTGAGTTCAGCGTCACAACCACCTGAAACACTTCAGGTATAGGATGTTCATTGAAGACTGTGAGATGTTCAATGAAGACAGTGAGACAAGAGATTTTACTTAAACTATATATTTTTACATAAAACAACTTTATGTTACAATAAAATCAGATAAAAATCACAAAGTTGTATAATAAGTTCATAAAGAAAAAAATCAAGTTTTTCTTTTATATATATAAAACCCAGCATTTACTGCTACTAGGAGTCTAAATGTTAACAATGACTGTCTATGGCCAATTTGAGAAAAAAAAAAAGAGGAAAGTACTTTTTCACAGCAGACAAAATGACGAGGTAAGAGATGTTTTTACAACGATCCAACTGTAGTAAACACTTCAGTTTTCATTAAACCATATACTAAATATAACAAAACCAAAGAAAAATATACATTTAGAGCACTGCAGTGTTTTCCCACAGTTGTATATCAACAAATTGTCAGTCATTCACTAAACTTTACTTGAAACAGTAAAAACAGGGTGTATGTTTATCTTCAGTACTAAAATCTCATAATAATCTAAATATTTTGGTATAGCAGACCACACTAAAACATTCCCAGAACTTTCAACTACAAGGGATATATTTATGTTAAAATCGATGTGCTTTGTTTGTTCTTCATGATGAGTTTTACAGAATATTATGTTCATGATCACTATTAGGCAATTAAATGAAAACATCTAAATGCTGCAAAATACTCTTTTATTGAGCATAACTCCCTTTTCACACACCCAGATTAATCAATGTACTGCAAACTTAGAAGCTTAGTTCACAAAACTTGCATTATCAGTCTTTTTTTAGCTAGTATATGGCTAAAATAATTATTGCTGACCAGTGTTAAACAAAAATACAACAGCGGATAGATTTTTCTCAAGTGCCTCTCTTTGTATGTGCCATTACTACCAGGTAACTAAATAAACAGAAAGGAAAAAGCGATCTATTTCAAAATATGCATATAAAACTTTTTGGAGGTATAGGCACCTTCATTTGAAGACTGAGTTTAGGCTGTCTGTTAAAAAAAAAAAAAAAAAAAAAGATTGAGAAGAGCGAACACAAAACACAGCAGAAAGTCAAACTGTGAGACATCCCGAAATACCCCAAGCAAAGCCCCCGGCCAGGACCAGCTCTGCCCTGCAGCCTGCAGGAGAAGCCTCTTTTTGGAAGCGTGTCACATTTACCATTAATCTCCTGACTGCGTTTCACTTTAGGTATCTTACTGTTTACCATAGAGAACATTATTTAAGACAAGCAGACTTCACAGAACAGTCAAGTTTATCTTCTAAAAATCAGTAGAAAGCACTGAGAGCTCCTCAGGACTGCGTGTGTGGCACCCCAGCCGCCTATGTGGGTCAGCCCGGACTCTCCACTGGGGCCTGCTTTTGGATTGAACACCGTGTGCCTACGTATTGCTTTGCCTGACACACAGCTGTGTGGTGAGCGTTAAGTCACGGGAAGAAGGGTAGCTCTGTGCCTTACAGCTACTAAACCATGCCCATCACCACAAGATGCTCCCCCAGGGCTGAACCTGCCTTCCTACCTCTCTCGAGGTCCCACTGCAGAGCCCCCATGGGACAACAACAGCTCTTAGTGTGCTTGATGGAAAGTTTCTGAGTGTAAACCAGCGCTGTTTGATCAGTCCTGCCAGGCTCTCATGCTGCTCGGCTGTGGGTTGGTGTTCACCTCTCATTCCCCGCATCGCAACGTTTTTGATATGCTGAAGACTTTTTGATATTTTCAGGCTTCACAAGCCCAGAACTTCCGGAACAAAGCCAGAGGGGCCAATCTTTTGGCAGTGGCCGTCCTACACCTAGACAGTCTGGGGCTGCGGATGGAGTACGTCCTTCACTGAAGCTCTGATAAAATGATCATCAAACTCAGCTGCTGCTTAAACAACTTACACCTCTTCCCTTTGGATTCAGCATCTGTAATGCATTGAGATGAAGAGGGTGCTTCACTCTAATGATGTTATCTTGGTTAACCCATAGGCTCAGGAAGACAACGCTGTATTTGTTAGAAACCATTAAGCCTTTGAAGGGCTGTGTTCGGAAGAGCCTAAGGACACGCTCTGGGTCATGGCAGTGGCAGTGATGGGGACTTGTCCTCTGTTAGCTGGGGAGCAGCCAGAGGTGACCAGCAATGAATAAGGGGAGAAAGCAAACACTTAGGGAAAAAAATAAGTGGTGTTACAGAAGAGTGACAAAGCACAGGGACGGTTTGTGCCTGGCTTGGAGGGGACGTGGTGCTTCGGAAGTGACGGGCTGTCACAGATAGCAGAAACCCTCCTGCTCTCTTCGGTTCATCGAGCTGCTTTAAAAAAAGTTCACACTTTGTTTCTCACTAAAAATAAAATCAGATGTTTGTATTTCAAAATAGTATTGCCTAAATAGCATGTGTTTGCTGGGCACAGGCACACCTAGTGTAAAACCATTTGAAAATAATAGTGTACTTTGAAAGGTAGGATATACAAAGTGTGAGGAGGCACTGAATTACTTAAAAAAATTAATAAAAGAGACGCCAATTAGACCCAGACAGAAAAACAATGAAAAGTATTGATTTCACTGAAAATGCACTTTTAAGAAAAAAAATAATAATTGTGAATTTGACTCAAATTCAGCAAAGAAAGATTCAGTCAAATAGGAAAAAAGCAAAAGGTCAAACTGTTTTATTTTGGTGTGTGAAACAAGGTTTTAACTTTTTTTTTCATTTTGAAATAATTTATTCCAATGACTAGGCTAAGGTAATCTTCCAAAATGCTAAATAATCTGTCTGATGAAGCAGATTATTCCCCTTGACAGCAATCATCTCAAGGTATTTTTCTGTCACTGAATGTTCTGAAGTTTTTAGTAGAACTGTTTAGTTTATCCCTTATTTTGGCCACAGAACTGAGAGAAAAAGAACAAAAAACACCATTATTCAGCAGCTCTAACACCAGGTCAAAGGAGAACCTCACTGGAAAACACAGAAGACAGACAGACACTCTCTAGCTGGTTGTCCAAAGAGGTCAGCACAGATGTTTGCTCCCCGAACCACCAGCCTGTGGGTGCCACCAGGGCAGGACACGGCCGGCAGGCAGCGGCGGCGCTGGCACACGGTGTGCCACGCACAAGGCCTTTGCCAACAACGACCGTGCAGCTGAGGTAGGAGATATCCTGCCAAGAACCACTTGGAGGGAGAAACCTGTGTCTGGAAGGTGAATCCAGGATTGCTCAAGGTGAGATTCAGCCTCGCATAAAGAGACCTCCACTTAGGCTTAATGGACATAGAGCTAACCTTCCTTCATCAGCAATGGCATGGGGAAATCTGGGTTTGCACAGCGCTGCAATAATGAATAGAAACAAGCTCTGTACTGGGTAGGGGAGATGAGCATCTGTTGGCAGCATCTGAGGCCATTTCAGAGACATTTGTGGGTTGGGGGAACTCCTCCTGCACAGCCATAGCTGTGCCTGCAGAATGCTGCCAGGGGACAGGAGGCATTTTGATGCCAGGACAAGTCCCAGGGAGCTGCCTGGGGCTCACAGTTTGGCATGAAGAGGTTACTGCCAGACCTTCACAGAGCTTCTAGGAAGAAATGGTGTTTTATACCCCCGTTTCCCACACAGTGGGATCAATGGGCTTCCAGCAGTGGGGCAGGGGCTAGAGAGAGGAGCTGCAGCTGGCAGATGCCTGGCCAGTGTGCTTTTGTATTTTGAAGAGGAAAAATGGCAGAGGGGGAAAGGTTAAAAATATGGAGTTTATGAGGGGTTTTAAAGGGGTTATACATAGAAGCTCTCAACTTCCTGCAGTTGGGGAGGAAAAAGAGAGAAAGGGGATGATTATAGCAAGACTTTGGGTGCTTGGAGGATGGCAACATGCTTGGAGTTTCCCACAGCATACAGCCGTGTAGAGGCATTCCTGACAGCTCAACATCACAGCAAGAACATACAGAGAGCATACATTTGGGGTCAGACTAGGAGAGGCAGCACAGGGATTCCTGGAAGGACATCCCTTATCGCTCCTCTGGAGAGCATGAAGCAGCCAAAAATAATTACCTATGTCACAGCTACGCACTGGTTTAACATGCTGGTATTAAACCTAATCTATTAGATTGATGCAATCCCATAGAAACACTTTTCCTGCAATTTAAGAGTGGCTTAACACATTCCTAATGAACGGAATCTGTGATAGACCTGACTAAAGCTGGAAAAAAAATAATGAATCTGGATTAACCCCAATAAAATAACTTGTTCTCAGACTCTTTTGCACCCCTCTAACCAGAATGACATTAAAAAAAATGTATTAAAACCAGAGCAAAAACCCTAAGATCACTCAACGGCAAAAAGGAAGCAGAAGATGGAGCAGGGTCCTCTGTGTAAAAGTGATGAGCGCTGTGACGGGAGGCCCCAGCCACCTGTATTGCTTGCAGCTCTTCACGGGGCTGTCTCCTGGCTCCCAGCCATTGCAGGCACTGGCTGCACAAGGGAGCAGGGGAGGAGAGGGGAAGCTGGATGAGCTGCCTGTTACATGATTGAGTCTGTCTGACTTGCTATCATATAAGAAGACTAAAAACGGAGATTGCTTGCTCACAACCACACACAGTTTCTGACGTCATTTTCGGTTTTGAGAAGTCTGATCCAACCCCGCATTATGCAACTGTTGAATATTCCACACTGGCAAAGTCTAATTTTCACACGCCTACATGCTATGTACCTGATTTTTATTTTTATTTTTAAATATCAACAGCCTACAGCATTTTTTTTAAGAGACTTAAATGGTCATACTGGTTGTAAAAGGTCCTAGCTTCACATCTGTTGTTTAAAAGGATTAAAAGCAAAAACACAAAAAACTCCAGTCTAAACAACAGGCAATGTGGTAACACAACAGTAACAGATGAAATTAAAATTCAAGGGACAACTGGAAACCAAACCTATCTCCAGCACGTGGGTTATATGCCCATGTGCAAAAATTATTCAATGCATGTCTCATGTATAACCCACCTGTCTTTTAAAGGTCACTTTTATAATAGAGATGTGCTGAGAATTAAAAAAAAATAAAAAATAAAAAATAAGAACAATATGCAAACAGCACGGCATGGTGACTTTATATGAGTCACTGCTGGAAAGCACTAACCAGGTGCTTAACCAAGCTTTCACCTGATATAAATAAATAATAACATCCCCTAATCAGAAGTTCTTTCCTGAATGAATTCAGATGCCATATGAACAGAATCTCAAACCAGGATACAGAGAAAGAAAAGAGAGAAGCTGATGGCAGTCCTAGGGATAAAAGCAAAACTTGGGCTGAATTCTCCTCCCTGGTCCTCTGTACATCAGCTGGTGATGCAGAGAGCATCCTTCTTGCTGGAACCTGATGTACGACTTTGCATTACTCAAAATGTATTTAGAGCTGCTGAATAATCAGTGAGAGACTACAACCCTTTCTGCCTTTGGGGTTGTTTGTTGTTGTTTTTTTGACAGTCTAACTTTGTGACTAACACCCACCCCCTATCCCCTGAGGGGAGAATGAAGAAATCATAGGAAAGAAAGACTTTGGGTTTCATGCAATCATTACCTGCAAGTCTCCTGGGCAGGAAGCTGTTTCTGAATAACACCCTTCCTACCAACTTTGTGACGCTTTTCACATCAATGTCTCCTGATCTGCCACTGTGGCAACTGAACAGCAGTGATCGAGGTGCACAGAGGTGCATGTGCCCTGCATACAAAGCAGCAGTACGACTCCTTCCAAAATAAACATCTGGTCCCAAGACACAGGTGTGCATTTTTCAGATACACACAGTGAATGAACTATACAGGTTCAAAACTGAGGGCCAAAGAGAGATGCTATCTTGCTAAACAAGGGAAGCTGTCCTCTCCTACTGGTTAAGATGCTTGCCTTGATGTAAGAGCTGGAATTCATTTCTACACTGTCGACTTTGCATGGACCCAGGCAAGCACATGCTACCTGAATCGAAGGATACATGAAACCCTCCGGATTTTTTCTGCAAATCAGGCCTGACTGACATGGTCCCTAAAGATACTGGTATGTGTGTGAAGTGATTCACTTGACTGCAGCTCATCACAGGCACATTTTACCAGGTTGATTTACAAACTGCAGGAGCTCCATCTAATCTTCTCTCCGCTCCGCCAAGGAATAAAAGTGTATGTTGCTAGGAGCGCTGATAGTCCAGACAAGAAAAAGACTTGTTTTCTGTTTCTATGGTTGCAACAGCCCTTAAGAAAGATATAAATTTCCCTGCAACAACTAACTGCATATTCATTTTAAGGTAGATCTAGTTCCAGATTCCTGAGACAGAACCCTCTACCTGTTCCCAACCCCACAAAGCCGGAGCAGCAATATAGAAAGTTTCTAATCTCAACAGAATTCAGTGAGCAGCACGATTGGTTTGGAAAACAAATAAACAAACAAACAAAAAACAAAAACCCAAAATAACCCACAGCAAATTTTCAGCCTCTATGTACAAAAACAATGCAAACAGGTGGAACATTCTAGTTATATTTTGTAAAACACATGTTTGAGATCAACAAAACATCAAACATCCAGACGCTAGATTACAAAAATCTATTGCCATCTAGTTGTCAATCCCAAGTTTAGACAGTCCTTGTCGGAAATCGTGTAATTCATCTATTTTCCCGTCTAGTACATCTAAAAAATTCTTTAATTCAGTTTTAAGGTTGGTCTGCCTATGTTTGCTCTCTTCAACTTCTGTCCTTAGTGTTCTGACTTTCTCTTCAAGATCTTTGTTCTTATTCTCAGCATCCTTAAAGACAAAAAAGACAGTAAGATGAATCATAGAGAAGAATAATGAACAGCATTTAACAGAGTAAAGCAACAAATGGCACCAGATCAGAAAAGTTTGCTTCAACTTCTGCAAACTGATTAACACAAGCACCTCTGAAGCAACTGACAAGTGCTAGTCAGATTAAAGGGAAAAAAAGCCCACGCAGGAAAGGACACATTAAGTGGAAAAGATGCTTTGCATCAGATTTTGTCATTTGGTTGATATCTTAAAATTCAGCTGGATTTAAATCACACACTGTGCATATATTTCTGTCATTGCTACACTTGCAGAATTAGACACTGTGCCAGCAATTACATAGGGAATTATCTATGGTGGTTTAGCCTTCAAAGACAAGCTTTAGAAAACACTGCCCAAGGAATAATATTGCTTTATTCGGTATTTTGGGATTTAGTGGTACTTTTTTAAAGTTCTGCATCGCCTCTGTGCGAGCACTCAGGCATGCTGTGGGGCAGCCCGGTAACACTTCCCTTGCTGCATTTTGCTCCTGCTCCTGAGCTGTCCTGCCTGTTCTCCATTTCACGAGTGTAGGCACATGCCTACTCTCCCCAAAAGCCAGAGGCATCATACTTTACCATGCTGAATCAAACCATCTGCAGCACCAGCCACCCCTCAGCAGCCTTCTGACTGACTTTACATCACTTGGATTATTAGAGCGGTGGCATGATTGATTGGATGTGATTTCGTTCATGAGCCTGCTTATATGTGCCCTCCTTCCGTGTATTAATTTATTGCACTTAAGCAAGCCCTGATTAGTGAGCATAGGCCATGGCAAGCCCTGAGCCCTGCTGGGTGAGACCACCTCCAGCAGAGCAGCACTGATGGGACAGAGCCATGCAGCAGGCAAATGCGGCCTCCCAGGAACTTTGTCCCTGGTGGTACACAGCTATGCTCATCTATGCTTCTTTCCTAAAAGCCTTCCCTGGTGCCACCAGGACGATTAGCTGCAGGTCTTGGTGTGCTGCTCAGCACAGGCAGCTGCTGGCAGCTTTGCCAGTGTGGATCAGTGGAAATATGGGATGGAGAATAGCCTAGAATCATCAGGAGAGAGATGTAACAAGAACCTGGGTGAACCAATCTGTGCAAACAGCAAGGCAAAGAAAGAGAGTTATTTATTTATTCCTTTGCTGGGAAAGGCATGGTGAATTTTGCAAGGAATTAGCATTTTTTGGTTTTGCAAAATGGAGCTCTTTGCCTTCAAATCTTGAAGTCTGAGCAGAGAAAAGCATGTAGCTATAAGGAAGAAAATAGATGAATCAAGTATATGATAATTAATTTCATTGCTAAACTGTACCTGTAATTGTTGAGATACAGATTCACATTCTGACATTAGCTGTGGTATAATTTCACCCTGCTTTCGGAGCTCTTCCAGTTCCTTTGAAAACATGAAAGAAAAATAATTAATGCAAGCTTCAATTTAAAACATAATGAAAATTTGAGAATATGAAAGGACTTTGCATATTTTATTGTACTCTGCACAGTATTTGGATGTAAAATAATCAAAATAGCATGTCTGCATTCAAAAACACATGCTAATTTTTTGCTAGAATACATTTTTTGCTGTATTTTTGACTTTGTTCTTCTACAACAGACAATGTAATCCAATATCTAGCATGAATGCCATTAATTATATTAATGAAATCTTAACCTAAAACACATATCCATGCAAAAGATACATTCAATAGGAGGGAAATCTGAAGTGCTGTAATGCTACAAGCAATTTATAGATGGTAGCAAAGAGCAAATTAGACATGAATTTTCAATGATATGTGGCAGCAAAAAAGACCAGCAAAATTATGAGCTGCATGTAGAGAGGCATCATTACAGAGCACAGCTGTGATGGGCTCTTCTCTGTCGCACAGAACTGAGTAACACCTCCCCAAATTTGTGTTCTGTTTGGGCATTGCTATCAAAATGGAGAGGACTAGCTGAAAGGGGTTCACGAAAAGAGCAACGTGACTTGAGAGGAGACTGTGTCTCTGGTGGAGTGCTGACTATGTTAACACCACAAATGAACACCACCGAAGTGAGTAGTAGGGAAAGACTAAGAAAGCCTGTGTATTTTGCAGGATTGTCAGAGTGAAAAGCACATTTGCAGGCTCAAAAGAAACTCTGTGCCTTGAAGAAAATGCAAGATTCTCCTGCAAAAACTCTGCCCACATGGGTCATGGTCTCAAGAGCAAATGCGGGTGTGTTGACACAGCACAGCAAAACCATTCCCCTCCTAAAGGCAGACTACTTGGCTATGAAATGTAATTTCTTTCCCAACAGGTGAACTTACAGCATGATACGAGTGTAACGATACAAAATTCACGCTCTTCCTCAGAGCCAGACAGTAATGCTCTCGATACTTAGAGTGGTGTTATTAAAAGGATAGAGAAGGGCTATTTACTTGGGTAGGTAATGATAGAAGGGAGAATGATCTTAAACTAAAAGAGGAGAGATTTAGATTAGACATTAGGAAGAAATTCTTCACTGTAAGTCCAGGGAGGTCATTGGATCAGGTTGCCCAGAGAAGCTGAGGATACCCCATCCCTAGAGGTGTTCAAGGCCAGGCTGGACGGGGCCTTGGCCAACCTGATCTAGTGGGTGGCATCCCTGCCTATTGTGGGGGGGGGGGGGGTTGGAACTTGATGAGCTTTAACATCCCTTCCAACTCAAGCCATTCTATGATTGTATGTTTTGCCAAAAGCTGAATAAATTAGTTTCTTTTTGAGAAACTCTCTAATTCCAACTCTAAATGTTTTTATTTTATCCTCCCAATTTTCCAGGATTAGTTTACATTCACATAAAAAGACACATCACTTAATACAATAGATTTTTTGTAAACTGCACTGAATAATTTGTTTAACTGATCTAAGAGTAATTATATCCAGGCAATATCCCAGCCACTGATATGGGGAAGGAAAATGTAATTTACTTTTTATTTTGAGATGTATGTTCCCATGTGCATATATATATGTGTTTGTGTATATATACACATAATACCTGGGAGCTCACGTTAAAATATAAATATACCATACTACATATACTATCATACTGTATATGTACTACATATAGTATGCATTTGCATATATATATATTATATATATGGTATATGGTATATAATATATATGTCTATACAAATATTTCAATAGATAGTTTTGCCCTGGCTCTCATGTCTTTACATCTCTCTCCTCATTTCCTACATGAAGAGAATATCAGCAGTTCTTCCCACACGGCAACATCCGTGAGCGGACTTCACGCTGGTTTGAATTGCAAACCATGAAAAGGTCACTTATGGGTGGTTTAGAACTAATCAAGAACCTGCTAATGTAAGTATGCAGTTGGAAAACAAGTTAATATATTGCCAGTGTAAATGGATGATAGGCTGTGATATTCACAAGTCAATTGATTTTCTGGTTCATTTGGTACCACATAAATGTGAATCTTGAGGAAAATGCTAGCAAATAAGGGTTATTATACATGCTATTACCACAGGAAGGCTGAGAAGAAAGCATGACATTTTCCTTTGAAATATGGTGCTGAAAACCATATTATATTTATAACAGTGCATCAAAATCCATCTCCCTAAACTATTTCCTTGTGCCATCTTAAAGCCCCTTAACAGTACTGCTTTTAAGAGCACCAGCTGAGATGCTGTAATGGCACATGGCAAACTTTACTGCACCTGCTGACAGCTTTTTCTCTTCAGCCAGCACAGAGCATTTGGTCACTGTAATGAAGGAAAAGACAAGGATCCCATTATTTTCCCCACTGTTCAGGGGCTCCAAGCCATCAACATCATTCTCCTTAGAAAAATGACCACCCTGTACGTCAAAAATGACAAACTGAGGTACTCAAAATGAATCTGAATTTCTCACTCCTGGCATTAGTCTTGAGATCAGAGGGAGACCGTAAAATGGCAAAGCTGAAGCATACGAGCCATCCGGGAAAAAAAATAAAATAAAAAGAAAAATAAAAAGGAAAAGAAACGAGGATCTGTTACGCAAATGCCCAGTTGCTTTGTATAGGATGTCTTTTTAATGACAAGTCCCCCTGCTCCTGATGTCTGAGGGAACACAGTACACAGGCACCGGCAACCAAGACTGTTCTCAGTGGACATGTGTCTGGCTTGGGGCAACTCGTTTCACCACTCCAGCTCTTCTATTAGGAGTAACGCACTGCGTACAGCAACCACCAAAATAGTGTGCTGTCACAGCACATAAAGCATCATGAAACGAAGACCTGAGGAACTCTACCAAACTATTGCTGAAGAGTTCTCCCAGAAAATCTAGAAACCGGCAACACCCCAGACTTTGGGCTTTTTCTGGCTGTAGGTGGGTCAGTTCATAAATCCACATCCATAGTGAGAAGCAGACAGACCAACTCAAACTCTGAAATATATGCCCGCTCTATTATCATGGCACTTACCAGCTCTTTGTCTTGAAGCTCTGTTTCCAGCTCCTGGAGACGTCTGCTCAGCTGTGCATTTCTCTCCTTCTCTTTATTTATTTCATTGCACTGCTCCTCCAGTTCTTCAATCTTTAAGAAATGTCAGACAACAGGTGAAATATTCAGTTTTCTGAAAGTCTGGGCCAGATCATGGCTGACGTGAACAAGCATTGCTCCACTGAGCATAGGGAAGTGCAGACAAATTTAGCTGTCATGGATCTGTTTCCTAGATCATAGCACTTGATTACTGCAACAAAATCATCACTTCTTGCCTTAGAAAGAGTCCATGTACACATCCACGAGGGAGCCCTGGGGCTGTGTTTACTCTCTTGCACACAGTATCTCATATAATTACCCGAGGATGTGCAAAACACTGAGCTGCTAATGTAAGTGGGGCTGAGGATAAAATCTACACTTCATTTCTGTGAAACCAGCACAGGATGGTAACGGTGGGCTTTCTTAACGCAGCAAGGAGAAGAAATCTCTCCCGTACTCCCAGTTTTGCCTCCTATGGGGTTGCTTGTCATTCTGGCTGCAGTAAGAGGGACAGGGCATCCAACCCTCGCTGGCAGAACCAGCTGGGAGCAGTGTTTGCCCTGCTGCTCCCTTGCCCGGGGACCTGATTTGCTCCTCCTGTGCTTCCCTTTCCCTCTCTCCAGACATTGCTCCTGGGAGCTGCACTTCCCACAGGCTGATGGACCAGCTCATTAAAGTGTGTATTTTAATTCTCAGCTTCACGCTGCTTTGGGATTATAACTTCACTCATTTGAAGGTAGAGCAATATGCAAAAAATGCTGACCCAGTTAATGAAGGGGAAGGAGCTTCCCAGGGCACTGCAGCGGGGCCGTGTGAGTGCCTGGTGAGGAGGAACCTATGTGGGGAAAGGCTGAGAAAAACCTCTCTGCATGCAGAAAGTGTGTTGTACAAACAGTGCTGCTGCACAGTCTGGCTAGTCACCAGCATGGTGACTTTGCAGCAGTAGCAAGGTGGTGCTTTGATAATCTCTTCATATCTAGGCTACAGCTACTGAGAAGTGGCATATTTACTTGGGTAATGTTGGTGAGGACAACTCTCTGCAACCATACAGAAAAATAAAAAGCTACACTGCAACTTATGCTGTTTTCTTACAACATGCTGTTCCAGGCTTTCACTTCTTCCCTCCCAAAAAACAGCTGGACAGAGGAACCCAAATCTTCTAACAATTAATATTGTTTGTGTTACATCAGCTAACATAGCTCCAATTTGATCTCTGAATTACAAACTGTGCACACCTAAAACACACACTAATAGGCAGAGAACATATGCCTGGGGAAAAGGTTGCTTCGTGGGGAATTTCAGTGCTGACAGACAGCCCAGGTCACTGCTGAAATACTATTTGCAGCCTACTGACATACAAAAAGATACGAAATTCCTTCCTTGAAAGCAAACGCTAAGCAAACAAAAATCCTCAGCAGACTGATACAACCTGATCTCTACACCATGTCCCAGAGAGCCACATAAGCAGACAGGGAAAGGATGCAGCTTTTTCAAAGAAGTCAGAGATGGATAGCATGAAGTGATCCCTGCAAGTGATGCTCAAGGAAACCAAGCCCCCAGCCGTGCTCAGGCTGGTGCCTTCACTATGTGGGGCTGACACCAGCTCCTGGCAGACAGCACGGTGTTATTGAGTAGCAGTGCCAGGGAATACTCTAAACTGCAGCTTTACTTTACTTAAACTTCTCAGCTGTTCTCTGTTTCAGCTGATGCTCTCTCCTATTGTTACACTACTCAGAAATGTGCTCTATAATGGAGGGGAGCAGGCTTTTGCTGATGTCCTCTTGCAGGTTTCTGGACAAGATGTGCCCAGCATTAGCACCAAAGCACCAGGCTCTCAGCCCAGCCCTGGCTGCACCCTGCTGCAGCAGCTCCCGTCCCTGCTGCCCACTGCCAGGCCTGGCGTTATTGCTGAGTGGTTCTCAGCTTGGCCTCACGTGGGTAACCATGCCATGACCATGCCTTCTGCTCACTCACCCTGTGGCAGTATTGAAGCGAGCTTTGAAAGACACATGCAGCTGTAATCCTGCTTTTACCACGTCTATCACCCTGGCCAGCAACCCAGCTGACACCAAGTTGCCCAAGCCAAGAGGCTGGGAGCTCCATGTGACACAGCAGCACGTGTCCTCCTGCTGATCCCAGCCCCTTGAACTCCCCTGCCTGCTGCCTTAGCTCCCCCAGACCGCTTTCCTTTCAAAGACAGGGTCTGTCCCACACACACATGAATAGACAAAGCAGCAGAAATGCTAGAGAAAGAGTAATGAAGGGAGTAACTAACCCAGAGAGATGTGCGTGCTCTGCCCCAGGTGAGACAAGGGGAGCACATAAGAGTGTTCAAAGTGCCCTGGAGACAACTTTCCCAATTTCCTTTAAGGCTCTCACTAGAGACACCTTCTCTCCAGAACAGACATCTGTATCCATGTCTTAAAACCCACACATTTGAACTTGATGGCTGCATCTCAGTGTTGGCACTATTTTTGGCTACTCCCATCAAACTGCTGAGCCTTGGCTTGCTGGCGCTGACAAAGAGCAGAGCGCAAGGATGCCCTGGCACCCCCTCGCAGCAGCCAGCACGGGGCTACCTTGCTCCTGAGCTGGTCGTTCTCCTCCTTGCAGGCTGAGAACTGCTTCTTCCAGTGCTCTATGCTGGCGGCCGACTCCTGCAGCGCCGTGGTCAGCCTGGCGTTGCTCTCCCTCAGCGTCTGCAGCTCCGTCTCCCACTTCTTTACATTGGAGGAACTGGGAAGGATAGGACATCATTAGGTGCACTGAGCATTAATCCTGTGTTATTACTCTCTGCCTGTCTACAAACTCATCCACTGGTGGTGGCACATGTTTGCTGACATAACATCAAAGCATCCTCAGATGTACGTAACTGCCTCTAGTATTACCCACGTAAGGAGAACATAAGCCTTGATTTGACTCCTGGCAATACAGAGGGATCCACCAACCTCAGCAGCAGAGACCTGTGCATCTGGAACAACAGTGCTGCAGCCCAAGCAGGCTGTCAGGCTAAGCCACCACCTGGGATCTCCACTGTCTGCAAGCAAGGGCTTTACCCTGGCTTTGAGCACGTTCCCTGCTGCCCTGTGGAGGTGAGAGCTGGGTCTTGTGGTGCTTCGACCACACTTGAGGCCTGGGTGTGCGGCAGCTCACAGCAGGGCATCACTACCTCTTGTCAAGCAGTGCTGGGATCCTTCAGCATGGGCCACGTCAGGGGGTGGACACCACATATAACTGCTTTGTTTATGCTCAGCCTTAAATAGAAAAGCGTTACACAATGCTGGAGAATGAAACTACTCATTCCCCAAAGCTTCAAGCTACTGTGCAGAGCCAGAGATCCAGGAGTGAATGGAGGCTCTGAAAGTCCTCCCACACCAGCTGCTGCGTGTCTGTGGAGGCGTCTTCAGCAGGAAGAACGAGCAAGCCTTACGATTTCAAACAGGTTTGGTTGTTGAAATGTCCATAAAGCGATGATGTATTTTAAGTGTAATATGTGCAACCTTAGAGCAGGTCACTCTGTAAAGCTGCTCATGCCACTGCTGCCTTAGTTTTTAAAAGGCTTTATAAGAGTAACTCGATCCTGATGTATTTTCTTTCCATTCACACACAAGAGGCAGGCAAGGCAATAAGATCCCAGAAGAGCATTGCAATATTTTAATGTTACAGCTTTGCATATTCTGCCCCCTGTGCTTTCACTGTGGCAGCAAATTACTCTTCTCAGTATTTCCAATAATTTATCAAAGTAAATAGCAAAATATGTGACTTCAAGAGGCATTGTCTGATGCTTCAGAAACATCCCCCTAAGACTGCTAAGCAGCCCAGTGAAACTATATTTTTCACTTCAACTTTTTAAGGTGGACCTCTTTCCCTTTAACAATTTTCCTGATCTACTTGCACTGAAGCAGACATAGCAAACTCAAAGAGGAAGAGCAGACTGTTTTCCCATGTTACCAGTAGTAATTGCTCGTAGGTGTCATTTCTGTAGCTCTAAAACTCTGCAAACAAAGGTGGAGTATGAGTTGGCATCACCAGAGTGGAAGAGATCTTATCTCATCATGAACCAGATCAGGAAAAATGTAAATATCTCCCAATCAGACACCAGGAGGTACTTACTAAAATCTGCTCATTCATTCTTTCTGCTGCATCATTTTAAATTAATGCAATTACATTTGAATAATTTCTGTTAATACCCTTAGCCATCAGATAATTACAGCATGCTATTTCGATGCAATTAAGGTATTAAAGGAACCTCACCTTTGGGCTAGAGCAATTTTTAGTTTATCATTCTCAGACTTGAGATGTGTCTCAGCAGGACCACCATGTGATGCCTTCTCATCATCTGTCCCATTCACACTAGATGCTCGAGTGGAAGATGGTGTTTCACGTCCAGATTCCTGCAGCACAACACCCAGATTAACAGGGGGCTTCTTTCTGCCTCCCACATCACCTAGGTTGCCTGGAGGCAGCACAACTTGCATACAATGGCTACATGCAACAGGAGGATGGTGTGCTTTCCTTTGTGTCAGCTAAAAAAGGGTCCAGCAGGTCAATGTGTCAGTGCAAGTAGGTATGAGTGCGCAGGACAGATAATGACCTCTGTAAGAACTGCAAAACTGTTCTCTTTAAACAGAATGAAAGAATGATAATGATGCACAAAAAAGAAGTTTCAAATATTCAATAATAATAACAATACAAAATCTTGTATGTTTTAACTGAAATGTCTTGTGGTTTCTAAAGGGTTTTTGTTTGTTTGTGTTTTTTAAGATAACGAAACAATATGGTACCCCTGAAAGCACACAAAGACCAAACAAATATATACAAGATACTGCTACTCCAAATATTTTACTTTCACATACTGCTTGGTGCTGACCATGAATGCAGAACCAGCAGAGAACCACAAAGGCCATGACCAAAGTCTTTAAAAAACACCAGTATCCAAAGTCAGCCTCTTAGAGCTGTACTTGGGGACCCCACCAAGGAGGCTGGTTGCAGGAGTGAATATTCAACTTTTTTTTTTTTTTTTTTCTAAACACACAGCTGAATTTCCTGAACAAAATTAATCTAACCTTTCTCCAAATACCAGCACAGGCCAAGTGCTCCCACTGAACCAGGGCTCATTCTTGGCTAATGCAGTGCTCATGAAATTACAGTAAATTGATTACAGAGAGACTGGGACAACACTCAATTTCCTCAGTTTGTAAGAAACCCAGCTCTCACTGGACACAGAGGCACTTGGCTTTATTGAGGTGTGCTGCCTAAAAATGTATATTATACAGATTGCAACATAAGCTTCTTCCAGCTACTCACTAAAGCACGGCCTGTTTCTGCACCACAGCTTTCAATTAATCACATCTAGGCAATGAAACACACAATGGCCATGAACAAGCCTCCGCACTGGCAAACTGAACTCGTACAAAAGTAGATTAGACATGACAAAAAGGAATGCCTCAATAAATCTTATTTATTGTCTGTTGCAGAACTATGCTGATGAGCTTTCTAGTGACCCAAACTACATGTATCAGTACAAATCGAAGGATGTACAGCTTCTGTTATTAAAAAAGTTATAACAGTTCAAGAACTGCAGGAAAAAAATTACATTTAAATGAAGACAAAGAGCATGGATGGATGAAAAATATTCCTCTGACAATGTTAATGTCCAGCAGCTGACAATTACCTTTGGCAATCTTCATTTGATATACTCTCAGCTTGCTGCCAGAGGCTGGTACAGTCCATTAGAAAATTTAGCTTTAAATTATTTATCCTGTATCCATACAGGTATTAAAGATAAATTACAAACCTGGGAATGATTGCTTGAGGTCTCAATTTTCTCTTGAGATCTGTCTCTTGCTAGTTTGGCAGCCTCTTTCACTTCTTGGAATTTTTCTGCAAACTGGAAAAAGCATAAAAGATACTTATTAAAATGATTTACCATCTATTAAACTGTTCAGATTACTATCTTGATATGGTTCATAGCTCTCCAGAAGTGAACAACTAATTTTGATAATTTAAAATTTTTGGCAAGAAAAAGCATTTTAGTTCTTTGGCATGGAGGTACTTCCAAAAGGAACGGTAAAATTGTTTCTAAAAGAGGGACATCTCTGCAGCTCTGGGTGACCACAGTAAAATCCCACAGAGAAAAAGGAGCTATTGGTGCCCCTTGGTATGATGGGGTTTTTATTTCTTCCCCCTTGTTTGTTTCAGTCAGTTGATAGTTGAAAGGACATATGATTCCATACTTTCAAGTTTAGTATAAAAGATCATGGAATCATATTTGGATAAAAAATTATTATCAGTCTTCTGTTCCTAAGAGCAAGTCAATTAAATTAAAGAATGCAAATGAGCTCACTCAGACTTACATTATATCCTTGAATAATTTGGGACACTTATAACAAGATTGTAAATAAAAGCCTGACAAATATCGCATTACATAGTCAAGGAATGGGAAGAATCATCCACTTACTATTCTCATTTTCTAACTTTTAGATTTACAGCTGGTATTTTGCATGCTCTCTCCCAGTAAAATACTGGGACTATAAAGACCGATAAAATCAATCTTCTCCAACTGATCTAAGAGAAATCATACATGCATGTGGAGGTACCTGTATTTTGTGCAGCACACAGAGAATGGAAATTTCCAACACACACATATCATCCTTAAATCACACGAACAAGCACATCCTTAAAGCCAAGTGAAATTTCAGGTGTCACTTATGAAGAATTGTGGAGTACAGTCTGTAATGATGCTTATAAATGAAGATGGAGCTCTTGAATCCAGCTGTCTTCTATACAACAGCTGGAATTGCATATGCAAGGTATTTAGTTGCTATCTGATGGCATGTGCAGTCCCTACACACACAAATGACTTGACTACATCTGTAGCTCCATAAAGATCATTAGGATCATCTACTTTACATTTTGGCTTTCCATGATTTAATTCCAACTTTACATAAAATATCTCCTACTGTGACAAAACAGCTATAGCGTGCTGCTTATTTCTAAAATATGGTGCCAACAGTAAGTTCTACACTTGGGTTTCTTGCAAATAGTAAAGAGCTGTTTTGAGTCTCTCCTTCACAATAAATCTTTATGGGCAAGTATGAAAAAATTATGAAGGTTCTTCATGGACTATATGAACTATGAAAAACAAACAAAAAGAATTGGAAGTGATCTATCAAAAAATTTTATTTTGCAACTATCTTCATAAAGCACATGGGAGACTGCTGTGAAAAACAATGTGAGCCACGAAGACAAGGACAGTTTTACACAGTTCCATAATAAAAATTGTATATGGCTAAACAAAGCCAATCTTCAATATAAAACTGATGAAGTTCTCTTTGCACAATAGATTTCGGTCATGTCTCCAGTTTACCAACACGTGTTATTTAACACATCTGCTTTTAGAAACAAGCACCAGTAGGTGGGTTTTTCACCAACTCAAGAGACAGATCTTTGGCTTTAAGAGACAAAATATTACCCTTAATTCTTATCATTGTCATAACGTAAAGACTTCTGTAGCAGAATCTGCAGTGAAAGACGTCTCTGGTTTTTGTTTATCCCATATATTTGGAAGCAGTCCATAAAGAGTTCTGCTGCTGCTCCTTTTTTATTCCTAGCTAATTAATAACTGCGAGATTTTACTCACAGTTTATTTTTGAAAGCTACAGAGGATCACTTGGCTTGCTATGAAATTAAAGGCCTTCACTTGATTATTCTGCTGAGCGCGGAAACACGATGGTGACAGCCCAAACTTGTGCAGCGTTACCAACACTAATTGCTACACTGACAGAGCAGATGTTCCGGAAACCACCAAGATCCTGAGGCTGTCTGTAAGGGGGATGGCAGGACCATGGTATCTGATCACTGGCAGAAATCAGAAAGATGCCATCCCTCCAGTAACTGACTTACTCTGCTGCAAATGCAAATAACTGGCAAGTAATTGATAGGAAAAAAAAAACGTGTCAGTTGGCTTTGAGCTATCAAACCATTGCAACAACAGAGAGTGCTTTTAAAATGGGAAATCCTAGTTTAAAAAGAGAAATAGTCTTCTATTTTGTAAATGAAAACTTGATAAATGTGGTCTAAAGAGGCAACAGCATGTGTAAATACCCCAAACCAACTCCAGAAATCATCACTCTCCTCCTTTACATCTCTGCTCCCTTCACCTTCCCTTTCCTCCATCCTGTCCTTGGGCAGACAAAGACAGACCAGAGTAGGAGAAGCATCAGCCAAACACCACTTCAGTGGTCCATCGTGGCTACTGATGCATTTCCCATTGCCCTAGGAAACTGAGGCCAAGCTGCAGAACGGATTTGCAGCTCCCAACACTTGCAAAGCCCTTCAGTCCAAGGACATGGCAGCACACGAGTGCTGGGTGATTAGGAGTCTTGGCCAAGGAAATTTAGTGGGGACTCAAAGATGCTACTGTGCATTGCACGGATTATTTAAAAGCTGTTCAAATCTGCAGCCAGCCTGTCACCTGGAGAAATATATATATAGAGAGAGACCTTCTTAGCATTTTATGCATTAAGAAGCATTATTTATGTGCGTGTAAATTTTAAGCTCCTGATCTGGCATTTATGTCTCCTCCTGACAAATCGTGGTGGTGTCGGACACGTGGAGCAGCTGCTCCCGCCCGCAGCAGTCCCATGCATATCTCAGTGCCAGGCAGACTGGCAGGGGACGAGAGCATTTGCTGCAGAAAGCAGCCGGGAGCTTGCTGCAGCACAGCAAGAGCACTGCCAGCACGGCTGGGCTGGGGGAGAGGGTGGGCTGCCTGTGCCCTGCTGGGCAAATACCGCACGCCACACGCATAAAACCCGCATGCATCAATCAAAATTTAAGGTCTGGTGCTTCCCAGAAGCCGTCTGCTGTTACTTTACGATGTGCGAAGTCCAAGTTTGCTGGGCTTCTCACCTGTATAAATCTCTGTCCCCATGCCCTTGGCCACCTCCAGCTCCTCAGATTATCATGTCTGTGCCAAAGCACCTTGACTGATAGCAGAAATTTTGCTTAACAGCTTGGTGTGCAAAACACATCGCTACTTTTACAGCATCAGCCCTGCCTCTTCATCACGGCCAGCCGCACCATTAATTCTGTTTTGATTCCTGCTTCAATTTTGGTGTAGCAACGTTTGAGTAATGTCCTGAGACCTTTTTGAGGCATGGGGCAGGAAGGGGGAAAGGTGCTGAAGGGAGGGAAAAGGACCCCGAGCAGGACATTAACTAAAAACGCTGGGACTCTCCTGGTCAATGTGAATGGCAATTAGGTTACTAGGTCACTGAAAGCAGTTTTCATTAATGGCTCATGTTTAATTTGAGCTGCTCGTCCCTATAGGTATGGATTAATGCTTAAGTGTCTCCAGGGAGGCAAGGCATTAGAAAGAGGCATTATCTTTTATTAGGCCAGCCAATATGCTTGAAAGTGTAGAAGTTTTTAGGCATGCTAACCTCTTCTCATGTCTCATTACTATTCATTGTTTTCAGCAGATATTCTTCAGTTTTATTTACTTATTTATTTATTTTAAGCTAGGGATATTGATCTCTGGTTTACAGGAGCTTCAGCATGTCCTCCTAACTCCTGGCTAAAAGCTTCAGTTATTTCCAGTAAAGCTGGCAAGCTTTTATTTGTATCTTTTATGAGTGTAATGACATCAGAATAAAATGAAACTTGATTTTACTATTCCCAATACACTTATACTTCTCTAATCTCTTCACCATCTCTGATCTTCTGTACTAATGGTTTAATAATTTAACTGAGGAGCACGATGATAAGGGATCTCTTTGTCCCATTGCTTTGCATGGCAGTAATAAGACAGATTTTCTAACATTTTCCAGACAGACAACTGTCAGATTTTTTTTTTTTTAATAGATCATTTTAAGCCATTTTCAGAAGTGCCCCTTAAGCCATCTCTCTTCAGTATTCTGGCCAGAAACAGTCTTTCTGCTGGTTTTGAAAGCTTTTCCTGCAAGTAGAAGGCTGTAGTATTGGCAATGGGTCCTTCAGCAGGTCACACTGTGCAAATAGAAGTGCAAATGGATCTGGAGGGGATCACAGATGCTCCTGAGGCCCCTGTGCCCACACAGTATGTTATTTGGATCCGCTCCTGTTTGCCCACATCGTACTGGCCAGTATTGTGGCTGGTATTTCTAGCACCAGCATTAAACTTATTCTCAGTGTGTCTTTGGACAGTGTTCGAGAATATGGCAAAATCTCTCATTAGGGTGCAAGGACCTCCAAAAGTGTTAATTCTTTCATTTGGATTGTATCATTGTATCATGCTTCTCTGTTACTCAAAACCAACTATTGGCCTAGGTCTACTTTAACCCTCCCATATTCCCATGCTGCTTATTTAGCTATTATAAATGCCTCTTTGTCATGGGAATGAAGAATATCCACAGGTGAACTGAGCACTCCTCTACATTTGATTAAGTCTAAGAATCATAAATCATAACTGTCACCAACATCTCCTTTTTTATAAAGTTTTGCACGTAATTGATAGGCTGGCCTTAGCATCCCAGGATAGCAGATTATTGCCATGCCACCTTTATGGATGTCTCAAGTCCAAAATTAAAATAACATGTAAAGTAAACTATGCTTTGCATTTAAGAAACACTTGCAAAAAAATAAATTAAAAAACATCCGGTTATTTGGAAATTGCAAGAACTTGGTAAGATATTTTTAGAATAATAAAATCCTGTAGCAATTCAATTGATTAAAAGTCTTCCTTCAATTCCAGTGGCTTGCCTCTGTTATTTTAGACACTACAAAGTTCTCAGGCTTCCTTTTGAATCAAAGCACGCAAGAGGACAGCAGCATGAGAGACTGTGTACCATGCCCAAGGACACGATGTTTAGTTAACTGTTAAAACCTGGTGCCAAGTAGCCATGCTTCAAGTGTCAGCTATGTGCTAGATAAGTAATGCTTTTTTGTTGCACGAACAAAAAAAACATCTCAGCCATTTGATGAGCACTTGGCAAGACCACTAATCTAATGACAGAGAGTGCATTTTGAACTGCTGGTTATTCATTACAAGAGGCAGCCCTACACTTTCCAAGCCTGCTGCTGCAGCCAGTCCCTGCCCCAGAGCAGCACTGTGTTCATACCAAGGTCTGGGTGCAGCTCTGGGGGATGCAGTCACACTTGGGACCAACTCCCTGACTGCTCATCCCCCAGCTCTGCCCACACGCAGGTGGTTCACTTTGCTTTTAGTGCCACTCTCTGCAGAAATGAGCAAATAGGCCAGGGAGATGGCACAAAATCCTTCAGAGCCAGATTGTTTCTGCAAACATCTGGAAACACAAATGCTTTCAGCCATGCTGAGCGAGAGATCAAGATCACCACAGCAGTACTGTTGTCAGTGATCCAATTTAATTTATGGTTTTGACCATGAAGTTTGCTTATGTACAGCCTGCTTCTGTACATACAGACATTAGAAAAATATAGGAAATAGTCAACTTCCATGAAGGAAAAGGACATGCAGAAACATCCAGTCTGGAAGAGGTGGGATGGATGCATGCAATTCTTCACTCTCAGCAAACAAGACAGCCTGTGCAGAAATTCCCCGTGCCCCGTTACCTTGGTCAGCTGCTGCTCGGAGGGAAAGCCCAAACCAAACACGGTATTTGCTCTGCTGTCCGCCCACTGGCCGAACTTCTGTGATGTTTTAGTAAAGGTCATGTTGGGTGTGATTGTGCTGTTTATGATCACCTGTTTAGAAACAGATCAAAAAAGGATTAAAAAGCAGAAGCCACATTGGAAATGTATATCCTAGCAACAACATCATTCACAGCAATTAGCAGGCTGACTTGGGAAATTGCTGCATTCCAAAGAATTTTTACCAAAACAGTTTCATATATTGTCTTACTGGATGTAAGAATTTGGATATTTTCTTGTCTTCTTTTTCCAGAGTACCATCATGGTCCCGCAGTTGAACACCACTGCAGGAACACCACTGAACACAAAGTAATAGCAGGGGCAGGAGGTATAAAACCACCCTGGTAGAAATGCAGATTCAAAATCCACTTTTTTTCAGCATTTCAAAGCTGGAGTCTCAGTGTGGAAGCGCACAGCCACTGCCACTGCCTGGCCAGGCACCAAGCCTGGTGTCCACCAGCAGCGCCTGCCTCAGAACTGGAGATATTTCTGCATTTCCCCATCTGGCCTCAGGCAGCCACATGTAGGATGCCAGACACATGTGGGAAACAGAAAAAAAAATCAAGACAAGGAGAAACTGATAGCTTAACAATGAGTTTAACTTGGGAGGGTTGTAAAGTGCGTCACCAACAATGCATATACAGTTTCAAATGTGGGCGTCTTCAAGATAAATATTCTGCCACTTTTACCCAGGTTAACTAATATCTGGTTCAGCAGCCTTGAAAGCAGCACTGGATCTTGTAATTAAAGGAATAGCCAACAGGAGGGAGGCCACTGGGACAAGATCTCTCAGGAACTGAGCAGAAAAAGCATAAAATGTAATCGTACAAAAAGGAATGAGATATATGCCAATTCATTAACAAAAATCTTAACTTTATTTTCCATATACATCGTTAGATGAGTCTAGAGACTCCTTCCCTTGGAAATGAATTCCTGTGCAATGCTCTTCCTCCTAGCAGAACACAAGCTTTCTTTGGTACCGCACACCATCATTTCCAATATGCAAATTATGCAGTAATTAAGCCAAAACTGTGGGACAGTTTAATTAACATGATCAGGAAGTATCCTGGCAACATCATTTACTATGTATTCTGAGCATTTTTTTTTTCTTAAGCTGTCTCTTACATTTAGCAAAAAGTGTGAATTAAATTTATCAGAGAAAGAGCATTCCTTGCTTCCATCCCCTCCTTAACTCTGACCCCTGTGCAGATGCTTTTATTTTCTCCCTTAGAACTTGCTCACCTTCAGTGGTTCCCCCTGCTTTGCACCATCACTTTCCCACAAACATCCTGCCACGAGCACAGGTAATGCCTTTCATGCAAAACGAGTCGCTTCAGACCAAGTTCAAAAGCAGTGTGAAAACATTGTCGCTGAAAGCTTTACCACGAAGATCAAAGCAGAGCAGGGCCAGGTGGCTGATGCTCCTGAAGTAGTAGGGTGGTGGGTTTTTTTGTTTTGTTTTGTTTTGTTTTATGGGAAGAATCAGGATGAGAAGGGAGAGAGGTGATACTTCAACCAGCGCTGGTTGACACATACTGTATAGAAATGAGCTTTTAGAGACAAAACCTGTTTTTGGGTGGCTGTCTCATAGGTGGAGGCATAAAGAAAGCTGCCCAGATGTGCTCTGTTCTAGCTGAGTCACACAGCAGAAATGCAGCCAATATAAAATCTAAGCGCAATTGCAGAGATTTAAATTAAAAGAAAATCAAAGCTGTCAAAGACTTTATGTATGGTTTTGACAATTCAAAGGGAGGATGATGATAGGAGGACTGTATGATACAATGAGTCACAAGAAAGGGAGGGAAAGCTACCACCAACCCAGAAAAATCAGGATGTTTTCCCAAAACTTTAAACAAAGTGCAACATGTATACTCAAAAATCTAACGTCAGAGAGGTGAACTACTTAAACATGCTTGGTTTCTTCAGTTACTGAATTTATTTTAGAAGCTCTAAAATACCCAGAAAATTCTAGTGATAAAAGGTATTATTTCAGTCCTTCTGTGCCTATCAAATTAGCCATCTTTGGGAAAAAAAGTAATAAAATAACCCCTCTTATTGAAAGGCAAGAGTGTCCTCCATGAGAAGCAGCCTCTGAGAACAGCATCATCCTTCCATACCTCCTAAAACAATAATTCAGTAAATTCAAATAGAAAAAACACACCGAAGAGATCACTTAGACCACAGTCCAATATTATTGATAATTATGATAAGAAGAATAAAGAAGCCTGCAAATTGTAAATGGTAAAACATCTTATTGAGCACAGAGATGAAGCACATTAGCTTAGTACCTTAGAGGTTAATTTTTTTCTGTAGCCAGCGCAGAATCCAGGAAAAGGTTGTGGTGATCACACACCTTCAAGAAACTGACAGTTCATCTGTTAAATTTATAATAAGCTGCAATTAGCAAAACTGCTTGGAAGCCAGCTCTACCTTTTTTTCAAACCCTCTCTGTCAGTCAGGCACTCCAGACATCCTGCGCTCCCGCAGACAAGTGAAAACCTAAGGAAAAGTTTAAGGAGATTAACTCAGAGCTGCACAGGAACGGTCCAGAGAAGGGGGACACTGCACTTGGCCACCTGGTCCTCCTCCCCGTCCTCACCACGTCACCCTTGCAGGAAGATGCTGTCACACTGGACTCAGTTCCTCACCTGTAAACCTGCTAATCTCTCAAGAGCAGAGGCTATGTTTGCTACCAAGCAATCACCATGGTTGGGCTAAGAAGAAAGAAAGGTGGCAACCAGTGTTGGTATTTCAAAGAAAAAGGGTTGCTTGTGATCCTTCCAGGTATTGCAGCCTGTCCCCTGCCCCACAGCTGGCTCAACCCTAGCTACATGAAATCTGAAAGAAAACGCTCCTGACCACTCCTCCCTATACCCAGGACAACGTTTCCAGTCTGGGGAGGAGGTGGGGAGGTGTCTGTGGCCATTGCACCAAGGGTGCTCAACAACAGCAGGAAAGTCTCCTTTTTGGATGGAAGGATGGGCCAGAGTTTTTGACTTTCAAAGGAAGAAGGAGCTGAGAGGAATAGCAGAGGAGGGCAAGGGCACTGTCTGAAAGCCGCTCCTGGCAGAAGCCCCCAGGCTCCTGTCCACCCCTACCTGCAATCCATTACCATAATCCACTCATCAGTTCAAATGTGCTCTTATGAGACAGGTTTGTGGTTGGTCCTCATTCCTGTAACACATGACGGAATTCCAGCTGTATCAGAAAACTGCATGAACTTGTGGACTTTCATCCAGGGCAATGGATGCAAAAGCCAAGCAGCTCTCTAATCAACTGCAGTGCAGTCCCTGAAGTGGTTAAAGAGTTCTCCCTACAGACAAAGGCAAAGGGGAGCATAATATAATAAGCACCTCACAGAATAATAAACTCATTCATCACACTGACTGCGTTGTCTACATGTGGTTAAAAAAAAATCTGCCTATGCTCTCATCTAGATGCCAGCGTATCAGATGGCAAACACTCCTGATATGTCTGCACGAGCCAAATAAAATCTCATACTAATTTCACTTCCTTTGGGAGAAAAACAATCCTGACAGATCTAAATTTTTATTTGAAGATGACACTGAAGAATTTTCACAGTACAAAGTAGTGCTACATCAACCAGCAATGACTCCAGACGTTTAGGAACACACTGGGCATATTCATCAGATAACAGCCATGCAAATAAGCTGGCGGAGAGCAGAACCCTCAGAGGCTGTAACAGACCCATCTTGCTGCCTTCCCACAGAGAGAAACTGCCAAATAAATCAAGCAGAGAGGTCACACGATGACCTGTGCAGAAGAAAAATTGTTATTGGCAGCTCACACCGCTCATACCCTATGAGCAGTGTACGTATACACAGCCGCCTTTTATTTTACGGGAAGCCTCGAGTAATTAAAGGGTCCCTTCCTAAACTCCCCGTGTCACAACACCTCACTGATGATTATTCTGGGGCAACAGTGCCAGGTTAGGAATTATTCTGGAATTTCCCCTTTAAAATCACATCACCAGTTATTCTGAAGTAACCTCACCTCCAGAAAAGCCCTGAGGCTCAAGATCATAGTATCTACTCATTAAGAAGTCACTACATTAAAACCTCCCCGTTTCATTTTCACACCTCTCAATATATGCTTTCCAGTTTGCAGCCCTTGTGAAATTTAATTTCCCCAACCCACCAGGTTGCTAATCTTCAGTAAAGATGTATCTCAGTCTAAAAACAGAATTAAGAGGGAAGGAAGCTGCCAGTCCTCTGGCTACAGCGATCACAGGCTCAGCAGGTTCTTCTAGCTCACGAAGTTGACAGGAATCAGAAGTGCTCCTGACCCCGGATTTGAAGACGAGACGGGGTGGATTTGCTGAGAAATTCTCCCTCTATCCCAAACATTTAGCAACTCCTTTGTAGAATGTATCCACCTACATTTCCATGATTTGCACTATCCTTCGCTATCGACCGTGCTTTGTGTCTCTGCCAACAGACTTACATGCAATGCCTTTTCACCAACGTATTACTGGCCTATGGAGGCAGAAACTGCACATTATACACGAGTGAAATCACACCATGAGGAAGGTGCTAACCTGTGTGGCGTTTAGAGCTCTTTGTCTCCTTCCAAATTAAAAAATAAATAAAAGTAACCTGCAGCCTGTAGCAGCACCTGCACATTGGATTGCATAAGTAAAGTGCTTAGCTGTGACCCTGTGATGTCAGATCGTCTCCAGTCCCACAAAGCTAGCACACACATATGCACTGTTAACTGAGACAGCTCCACTAAAAGGAAAATAGCGTCCCCAGCTCAGTCTGTCTACCAGAGGGGATCGGGAGAGGCACAAAGACACACTCATAGCAAGAACTTGGGACGGAAGAAAGAACAGCCTTTGGCCAAAACAGTGAACCTGTAACGCAGGAGGATTAAGTATGGTTGTTTTACAAATCAGGGCCAGCAGATATGATGAAATGTCTCTCCCCACCCTATTTGCTAAGTCTTTGTAGAAGGTCCTTAAAAAAAAAAAAAAAAAAAAAGCATGGGAAAACAGAAAGCAGCATAAGTAGATTGGAAGCAACCATAAGCTTGTT